AGGTGCTTTAGACTACTGAGCCATCTCACCAGCCCCAATAAGGCCAATTTTGAGGAACAAAAGTTCTGTATTTCACAGCATAATTTGAACAACTTCCTATGGCTTCCCAAGCAGAAGTTTAGAGTACCACACAGCTCAGGGCCTCAGCATGTAGAGAAGGCAGCAGTCTCCCCATTCATTACTCAGAAGAAGAAACTTGAAGGAGGCTCAGTTTTAATAATTGTGTTTTTTTTTTTTCCCTTACAAAAATAAGGACATTTCAACACTTAAATGTACACACCTCATACCCTTATACTCATTCATCTTCCTCAATAGCCTATGGCCCTGCTACTTGGTGTGATCTGGAGACCAATTACATGAGAAGGGCAGATGAGCCCACAGAAATGCAGATATGTGGACTAGGTGGGATTTCTACACACTGACGACAGGGACCAGCTCCTACAAGGCTTAAAACATGTGGTAGGTCATGCCAAAGTTCCAAAAGGGCCAAAATCCCTTCCTGCATCAATAGAACCTGCTTCTAGAGTGGACAGACTATCCAAGGTTAAGTCCAGTCAAACATCTTTTTAGAGATAGAGGCATCCCAGCATCCATTCTCCCAGAATAGCACCCAGACCCCATGATACTGTATTCCAGAAGCAAAAAGGAAAAGGCAACTTTACCACTCAATTCCGAAAAAGTAAACAATTTTTTTAGTCTTATTTGGTAGGCTGAGTCAGGAAGATCTCAAGTTTGAACCCAGCCTGTGCAGCTAGTTCAGCGACTCAGTTAAGATACTATCTCAAGGGGCCGGGGGGAAGGCTCAGTGGAATAAGCGCTTCCCTGGCAAGCGTGAGGGCCCGAGTTCAATCTCCAGCTCCACAAAAAAAAAAAAAAAAGCAAAATAAAAGCTTTTAATTTTTTTGCTCAAAACAATAACAGCAAGCTGGGGATATAGCTCAGCAGCACAGTGCCTGCCTGGCAAGCACAAGATCCTGACTTTGGTTCCCAGTACAAAAACCAAAACAGCGATGTACCTCATTATGCATGCTTACATATGTATTTATTTGTGTATGTTTATGTATAAATGAAATAAAACACAGCAGTGAACAATGGGACAAAGGACAGCAAAAAGGAATCGAGTATTTTTCTATTTTAAGCAATGTGCACTCCTTGAGAATCTGTAGAGTGTTGTTTGAAAGTAGACTTGGACTAGTTATAAATGTATATATACTTAAAACAGCATAATTTATATGCTAGAAAAGGAACTGATACAGCATGCTTAATTAATTAAACCACAAAAGGTAGAAAAGGAGTGGAAGGTAATAATAAAAGAAAAAAGGCACTGAATATTAAACAGTAACAAATATGGCAGATATTATTCCAACAATATGAATAAGCACTATAAAACTCAATGATATAAACACAGCACACATCTGTTAAAAGACTGAGATTGTCAAAGTACATCAAAAATAAGACCCAACTCCATGCTGTCTATATGAAATTCACGTGAAATATAAAAATACTTACAAATTAAAAGTAAAGGTATACAGAAAGACACATCACGCCAACACTAATCACAAGGAGGCTGGAGTGCCTATCTTAATTTTAAATAAAGCAAACTTAGAGTAAGGAAAATTTCAAATTTCAGTGATTCAAGGGAAGAATTGCATAATGATTAAAGGGATCAATTCTTCAAGAAATAACAGTCTTTGACACAGGAGAACTCAGAAGCAGTACCAGTCAGCGGGATCTAATAGACATGTTAGCCTCTTCCTATGTGATGTGCCAAAGTTCTGATCATGAATGTGTCACTGAAATCAGGCCTATGGGGCTGGGGAGATGGCTCAGTAGATTAAGTGCTTCCCTGGCAAGTGCAGGGGCCTGAGTTCAATCCCCAGTTCCGCAAAAAACAAACAAACAAACAAATCAGGCCCAGCTGGCTAGAGCATCTTATTCTATGATTTCTACCAGCTGCAATCTGTGTGGAAAGGGTCTTAGGAGACCCTGAAGCCACACAGTAGAAGGAGTGATCTTTGAGGATGTGGCTGTTAACTTCACCACAGGAGAGTGGGCTCTGTGGGTCCATCTCAAAGGAAGCTCCACAGAGATGTGATATGGAAAGCCTTTAGGAACATGGCTGCTGTAGGGAAAAAAACTTGGATGGCCAGATAACGAATGCAAATATTGAAGGAGAAACCTAAGAAGTGAAGAGGTAGTGAAATACTGTCAATGTGAATTATGGCATCAACACAGAAAAATGTCCTTCTGGATTCCAGATCCTAATGTGAGCCTGAAACCACCTGGCTTGAAGGCCAGCTGAAAGTCTTGCCTAGAAAGACCCTGACTGGTCTTTCATTGATAATTATGCCCATCATAGCTCACAGTGCATTCAAGTCACATGAGTGTCAGGGACTTGTAGGGAAGCTCCCTAAATGTAAAATCTTAGTTACTTTTCTCATTGCTGAGACAAATACCTGACACCCAAAGTTAAAGAAGGAAAGGTTTATTTGGCTTGCAGGTTGTAGAGGTTTCAGCTCATAGCTGGCTGGCTACATAGCAAGGTGGCATGACAGAGGTGCATCACAGAGGGGAAATATTTATGGTGAGCAGAAGGTAGCAAGCAGCAAGCTACACATCACAAGCGATGACAACAGCTGCCCTCTTTCTGTCTCTTCTACTCTGGCACTCACATCCTTAGTGCTGGTATTGTACTGTGAATCAATCCCAGGGCCACATCCCTGATCCAGCCAGCTCTGAAAAGCCCCACCTGTGAGTGCATGAAGCTTTGAGGGAACATCTACATGTAAACCATACCAATGAACATAGAGGCCCAGCATGGTAGTAATATGTAAAATCTTTCAGTAGATGCATGTATTATTCCGTGCATGAAG